CTCCCCGCCGTGGAACTAAAATTGGAATATCCAAGGGGTTTATTTCCCAGTTTGGATTTGCAGAGCTGGGAATGTTGTTGGCTCTCTGCTCTCAACCTGGAAGTGAAAATTCAGGCTCAGGTCAAATTCGCATGGCAGTGAGACTCACAGATCCAATTTATGATGGTTATAGTTAGAGTGTAATAATTAGTTCCACGAAAGATTACACCAAAAACAACTTGATACCTACCTGGTTTGCTGAGTGTGTCACATGCTCTCCAAGCAGGAAAGGGAGATACAGTTTAACACTTTATCTGAAAGATGGTACCTCCCTCAACACTGCACCAGGGCATTTTGAGTGCAAGGCCTCAAGTGCTATTCTGCCCGAGGTGCCATCTCCCCCACCCCAACACCATCCTACTGCCAGCCAGCCCCTTGCCCTGGCTAACGTATATCCCCCACAACAACACAAAAGCAGACTGTCGGGTAGTTATCAGATTGTGCATTGTTGGAGCTTGCCATGTGCAGATTGCTGTGTTTCCTATGTTACAGTATTGAGTATGGGCAGAATCCTATAGGAGACTGAATGACAGGGGCTATGGCGAGACTTGTGACAGAATTATGTGGGGAGTCCAGAGAGATCTATCTCAACATCAGGAGCAACTCACTGCATCTTTATGTATCTGTCGGGCACCGAGGCGAGTTCCCCACCAGCAACAGCAAGTTGCCAATCAAATGGGATTATTGCTTATTAACAACCTCATTAATGGCAGCCCTCACCTCATTAATACATGGCTTCCTATCTTTAAAAACGCACTGAACAAACTGGACACTGAGACTTCTTGACATGGAAGTCAGAGTGGTTACCTAGTGATGTTACCTCGCTGCTTGCTAATGCTGCACACTGGGTACCAACATCTCAGGGTATACTCCGTGTGTACTGACCACATACACCCCATGTCCACAGACACTAGCACTGGACATGGGCTAATTTCTAAGAACCTCATGATGCATCTCCAATCCACCTAGATGATGCTTCTGAACTTCAACACTGCACCAGCAACGATCATTGTAATGCTGGAGCAAGGACCCTGTACAGTCAGGGAGACACACCCATCTCATGGACTGGACCAGGTTACACCTCCAGGCTCATCACTTGTTTACATAGCACTCACTTAGAGCTGACCTAGATGTTCTCAGCATCCTTGCTTTGCCTTGCCTTTTTGCACATTGCCCCTCAGCCAGAGGTGCCAGGCTCACAGTAGTGCTAAATTGCCATGTCGTCTGAAATAGATGCAAAGGAAGGAAACTTTTCATGGCTCAAGGGAAATAGTCATGTTTAAGGGGTCCCGGCTCAGTGAATCAGGACCTCTGATATCAGTCTGGGGCTTGGACACAATCAGTCACGGGAACATAGGAACATTAGAACAGGAGTAGGCCATTCAGCCCCTCAAGCCTGTTCCACCATTCAGTGAGATCATGGCTGACCTGTATTTTAATTCCAGATACCTGCCTTTGGTCTATGTCCCTTAATACCTCTACTTAACAAAAATGTATCTATCTCAGGATTAAAATTAACAACTGATCCAGCATCCACTGCCTTTTACGGAAGACAGTTCCATCTACCACCCTTGGTGTGTAGAAGTGCTTCCTAACACCTCTCCTGAATGCTCTGGCCTAATTCTCAGACTATGCTCCCTAGTTCTAGAATACACAACCAGTGGAAATCGTTTATCTTTAGGTACCCTGTCTTTTCCTGTTAGTACTCAAAGACTTGGATCAGATCATCCCTGATCCTTTTAAATTCGAGAGAAAACAGACCTAACTTGTATAATCTCTCCTCTTAACCTAACCCCTGAAGTATCATTCTGGTAAACCTATGCTGTACTCCCTCCAAGGTCAATATATCCTCCCTAAGGTATGGTGCACAAATTTGCTCACCGTACGTCACATGGGGTCTAACCAGGGTTTTATAAAACTGCAGTATAACTTCTGCATCATCCAGTCCTCTAAATACAAAGTCAGTCAGCCACTTGGGTTTGTCATAGTCAGGATGTTCTCCTCATAAGAGGTGAAGAGCTAAATGTCAATTGTCCATCTTCTCTCCCACCTATCCTTTCCTCCCACCTCACTGACCAATCCCCACCACTTTCTACCTGCATTCACCTATCACCAACCCACCTACCTTCCCTAGCCCGACCCCTCCTCTCTATTTATTTCTGAGCTCCCTTCCACACTCCCCCACCCCCCATTTCTGAAAAAGGGCTCCAACCCGAAACGTCAACTTTCCTGCTCCTCTGATGCTGCCTGGCCTGCTGTGTTCCTCCAGCTGCACACTGTGTTATCTCTGACTCCAGCATCTGCAGATCTTACTATCTCGAAGCTCACAACCTATCTTGTCCCTCTCTGTCTTCTTGTGGGCTGTTTTCCTCCAGCAATGTGTGTGAGAGAGAGAAAGAGAGAGAGAGGCAGATAGTAAGGGAGATGAAAGTTGTTGGTTCAGCTACTACTATTAGTACTGGTGCAGGGGGAGGTGTCCTGTGTGAGTGAGTGGGCAGTGCAGAAGGCATGTAGGGTTAGGGTGTGTAGGGAAGATATTGCAGGAAATAGTGAGCCTTGGTGGGAGGTGGTTTTAGTAGCAGAGGGACAGTTAGTGTGAGGTATTGGACAGAAGAGGGAGATACTTATGCTGGTGGTCTGCAGAAGGTCACTGGCATTCTTTGTACACACAACCAGATGGCTGAGACCCAGATCACTGCCCCAACCCATCCAGCAGGATCACAAGGTCACAATTGGATAATGGGGTCACAATTGGATAAAAGAATGCCATAAGAGTGGGGTAGGTAGCTAATGAGGTGAGTTTGATAAAGACGCTGTGAGAAAACTCACTGCGCCTCATGATGAAGAACCCTCCTAAAAAATTCAACACTGACAGCTGACTCTTAGCCAAAAAAAAAATTCAGCTCCATAATTCAAAAAGTGTTTCGTTGGATTTAAAGTGCTTTGAGGACAGGAAAGTCCCTCTATAAATTCAAGTCTTCCTTCTTACTTCCTATTTTAATTAACAGCAAATGACTGAATTTCTGGAGGTGTTCCTTTCTATGCCTTTAAACATTGAATATGGTTACAGTAGTCACAAAGTTAATTACGATCCTCAATGGAGAGTTGTGGACCGCGAGAACACTCTTGTTACTTTGCCTGAACTGTCAGCAATGTACCTCAGTTATTTACCCACCTGTGGCACATTCTTTTCTCAGGAAAGCTCATGCAGCACCTGCCCAAACGTCCAAAATATTCTTTGATGCATCCCCGAAGAAAGAATAAGGAAAAGCAGTACAATCTAAACAGTACAAATCTAAAAGGCTAGCAGGAATAGAGATTTTAGAGGCTTTTATACAGAAATTTTTGATGGTGGCAGGCCAATTTGATATGGCAATTAAAAAGGAAAATGTGTGCATACTACTCACCACTTTCGGTTGTGTACAGCGATCATCTGAGGAGGAGTGAGTAAAGATCCCTTTCACAAATTTCTTTATGGGTTTAAATGTGGGCTTATTCCTCTAACTCGCAATTTGAGATTGTCCAGAATATAGTTGTCTGTGGCCTGGTTCATGCGTTGGATTATAATCCACATGACCTCAGCCAGGCACTAAAAGAAAACTCCACCTCTTCAGTTATTATCTGAGGGTGTCTGGGTTTGAAACTGTCAAGCTGTCAGACAACTGTCTAATGAAGGTGATAAAGAACAGGGACTTCTCCATGATTCAATCTTATTAAAAACTCATTAATGAAGTAGGGTCAGGAAGAATTTATTTTATGAAACTATTTGAACTGGCTGTTGCTGAAAAATGATCCATTGGAGGAAATAAAATAATATGTAGGAGGTCATTAACATAATTACAGTTTTGATATGCAGCACATAGCCCTAGCAATAACCCCTCTCAAAGTTGTTATAACGAAAAACTTTGCTTTTAAAATCCATCACCTGACACAAAGTTGTGACTAGCTGAAATATCCACTATTTGTTAAATTATTGAAGCTGTTTAGCTCTGCTGTTTCAAATTATGCATCAGCCTTGATTTTGTGAATAACGCTCCTGTCTCAAAGTCAAAATGTTACGGGTTCAAGTTTCACTCCATAACTTGAGCCAACTCTGCAGTTGCTGTACTGTGGGAGGTGCCATTTTATAATGGGGACCTGTCTGCCCACTCAGGTGGACATTAAAAATCCCATGCCAACCATTTCACAGGGGCAATTCTCCAGCCTCCTAGCCATTCTTTGGTAACCATTGGAGCTTGTCGAATGCAAATTGACTATCGTTTGTGATGGTGATGACCCTTGACACATATCTTAGCTAAAGTTTGTGAGGCTCTACAATCCTAAAGGATGAGATATAAACTCAAACCTTTCCTAATCTAAATTATCAAACAAACCTTTTCAAATAGTCAACTGCTGGAGAAGTTTAGCTCCAGTTATAATTTACAACCTGATTGAATGGTACCTGTTTAACATCTGATCATTAACATCATGCATCAATCCACTTGTCCCGACAAGTGTTGGACTGCTGGAGCCAGCAAAGGGTTTGTCCTGCAGGAGGTGCAGGAAAGATTATAATTTATACTTGTCCCAAGTAGAGGAATTTGTTCTCCAATGAGAAGCCTTGCCAGAAGCATTGACCAGTTTTGTTCCTAGCAATAACATATTCTAATTGATGCAAAAAAAGCTGAGCTAGTCCCAATTCTTTTTTGAAAGTCACAGTTGAATTCACTTGCACTACACTCTCAGGCAGTCCTGCTGACACCACAGTAACTCGTTATTTTGTATTCTCTTTTGTGCTTCTATATCCTTCCTGGAGGTCAGAAGTAAAATCCATTATTAATTTATTAAACAGAGGAAGTGGGACGTATGTCAGTAACAACTTTTAAGATTTGACCCTAATCTCCCTAAGGCTTTAGGCACTGCCTGTTTGTTAATGTGCTGCTCGAGGCCCTTGTTACAATGGTATGTATTGTTTCCTTTAGAGCCCCTCAGCTGTTGGAACAGGAGACTTCCACTATGGTGGCCGTGAAGATGCTGAAAGAAGAGGCTTCGCCTGACATGCAAGCAGATTTCCAGAGAGAGGCAGCCCTCATGGCAGAGTTTGACCACCCAAACATTGTCAAATTATTAGGTAACTCCAGCTTTCAAAAAGCAAAAGTGCAAGCTGCAAGGATAACTCAACATTTACGTCATGCCGCTCACAAAATATGACACCAAGCCACATAACGGAGATATTAGCTGGGGTAGATTTGAGGGACGCCTCAAAGGAGAGAGAGTTGAGATGATGGAGTGATTTAGGGAAGCAGTTCCAGAATATGGGCCTGCTGGCTGCTGAAGATATGGCCACCAACAGTAAAGCCATTAAAATCTGGGATGTGTAGGCAGTCAGAATTGGAGGAGTATGAGGAACTCTGAGGGCTATGGAGGTGATTACAGATATAGGGAGGGGTGAGCACTTGGTGAACAAGAATGAGAATTTTAAAACTGAAGCACTCCTTGACCGGGGTTGGCAAGGGGGTGGGGGTGGAGGAGGCGTCAGTGTCATGGCCCACACAGGGACGATAGCTGGACAGAACTTGGTGTCAGGACACATGCAACAGATTTTTGGATGATGCTACTCGGATGGGAGTATATGGGATGTCAGCCAGGGCAGTGTTGGAATAGTTGAGTCTAGACTAACAATGACCTGGACAAGGCACCAGCAGCGGGCAATGTCATTAGAAGGGGTCAAGGGCTAAAATGTTATTCTGCTCCACTAATTAAAGCCTGTGACTCAGCACTTTGGAACACGACCCAAAGCAACCCCAAACTGGGCCTTACTAATTTCGAAAGGTATTCAAAGTATTTGTCAGAGAAGTTGCCGATTTTTATGTTGAGTAGCAGCTGTTCAAGAATACAGAGGGGGCCTAAAACCAGGGTCTGATTAGGGACCATTTCCAAAGAGGCTGTTCCTTTTCTAGTAAATACACAGAGGGGAAAAAAAACAACAAAATTAGTATTTCTGCAATGGTGAGCAAAGCCCAAGCATTTGCTAGTGATGAGCTTTGCGCATATGGCTAATAAAACCACTGTAGAGCCCAAAATAATTACAAATGATTTGAAAGGTAACGTTTCACATGCTGTTAGTGTTGTCTGAAATACTTCATTATAGCACACAACTGTGACAGTGCCCCGAGTGATCTTTTGTGAGTTTAATCTACACCAGAACTGTGTCCCTGACCCCATGTCTATTTTTTCAGTTTCAATCTCTTCTCTAAGGTGGATGAAATTGAAGAAGAGGGCTAGAAGGAATTCTCTCCCTGGTCCCATGACACAGTGTGTGTGTGAGCCTTTCAAAACTGAGCATTCCAAAACTGAGCATTCCACACATTTGAAGTGAGCAAAGAGGGTTAGGGATCCAAACGGACTGAATGGACTTACATTTCCATAGCACATTTCACAAACTCGGAACATCCCAAAGTGCGTTAAACTTTTGAAGTGTATTTTTTTTTAGGAATTGCAGCAGCCGATTTGTGCAGAGCAAGATCCCACAAACAGCAACCTGACAATGACCAGATAAGCCTGTTTATTTAAACAACATTGGTTGAGCAATTAATATGGCCAATCAGCAGAAAGACCTCTCCTGGTCTTTGGTTAGCTTCATGGGTTCTTTTCATGATGATAGGCAGGAAATTGGGATTAGCAGCTTGTTGGAAAGGTAGGTTATTAAATAGACAATGTAGATCTTCAGGGTGAAAGCTTTATTACTTGAGGACTCAAACAGCAATCTGTAATTCCACAAGATGACAATTTGAAACCATTTTGTTTGACACTTATTTTGGTGGTTAATTGTTCTAGAAGGTTGTATCAGTTGCTACAGTCACACATTTCAAAATTCAAATCCCACACAGTAATAATGGCTGGAGGTTCTCATCAGTGTTTGTGAAGATTATAAAATGGGATTTTTGAGGATCAAAGTTGGGAGTTGCTGAACATTTAAACTGCCAATAGCTTCAGGAAAATTCCTGTCAATACAGCACATCTGGTTTCGTTTGTTTTTAATCCTGCCCTGTCTTTGTACTGTAACAAAAAAAACATCAGAATCACGCAGTAACAAACTAGGCCAATCAAACAACAGAAACATAAGGGGGAGAAGGAGATCCTTGTGTCAGCTGTAGAAATTGTCATATTGCCCTGAAAGAGCCTCATTTTAACATCTCATCCAAACGAAGACATAGTGTAGCAGTCCTTCAGTATCAGCCTGGCCAGGGCTAAGTTTAGGGTTAGGACTAGGATTAGGTTAGGCTTAGTGTTCGGCAGTGTCCTCAAGTCTCTGGAAGGGAAGAGCGAACTACGCACTCTACCATGGTTAGAGTACAGTGCCAAGAGTACAATGATCTCTATGTGTTTTTCTTCAATGCACTCCAATCTGGTGATTCTCTGCACCCAAAGACCAGAACAGGAAAACCTACCCACCTGGCTCTTATTGGAAAAGCATGTGAAGCTCAATCAAATTGCAGCCCTTCCCATTCCAGTTTTCCTTAAGCTTTATCCAAGACCTAACGTAGTTTATTCCTTCCTTTCCTCTCCTGAGGAATCCTGAAGCAATGGCAAAGCAGAGCATGAAAGAGGATGCCTGGCTTGAACTGGAATTGAATGAAAAGTAGTAAAAGGTAGGCCACTTTCAGGGACCACCAACTTATGCTGCAAGAATACCAAAAGAAATTGGACCTAACTACCTGAGATAATCTTCTGCTCCTTAAACAGCTGTTCAGCCACTTTCATACATTAATGAGTCTGTTTAAGGAAAAGGTAGTTAGATTGCCTAGAAGAGTTGTTGGGCCTGTTCTACTCCTCAGCTTTCTCAAGCATTGAGGTGGCCTAGCAAATAAGTATCACCTCGAAAGGTTTTGGTGTGAAGCCAGAAGAGGTGGTTGACATGAACTTTGAAATTGGTACAAAGTGCACTTTGAAGCTGGTGAGCGGTTCGAGTAAATGGCAGAAAAGTTTGCAACTACTCTACAGCTAAGTCAGCACCTGTGGAGAGAAGAACAGAATTAACGGGCTTAGAATGTTCACTTTGGGTAAGGGCCAATGACATTGGGAAGGTCAGGATTGAAGTCTTGGAAAGGGCATTTGAGAATCTGCCAATATTCGCGTTGCGAACTGGAGCAGGAGAGGAGAATTCAGAGCAGCGGGGGAGGAGGAAGAGACAAGATCTGGGAAGGGCTTTGGTGATAAGTCTAACAGAAGGAGAAAAACAGCCTAAAACAATAAGCTGAAGAGTATACAAAGGAAACTTCCCTTAGGGTTGGAAAGACGATTAAAAATGATAAAGAATCCGAAAAATAGATGGGAAAAAATACTGAGGTATGCCTCGCTCAGAGTTACATTATGGATATGCAATTGTGTGAAGCATTAGGAATTAGTATTAGTAAACTAGAAGCAATCTCTGATGGCCTGCCACATTACTTCTGAGCTCAGTTTTTCAGTATCAATATTGAGGGACAGTAAAGCCAAACTAGTGGAGTCTAAACCTGCCCTTATATGATCTTTATTCTTAGCAACAGAAATCTATTTTTTTTGTTTCTCTTACATTGGAGCAGGCAAACTGGGAGCTAACCTCATCTGAATGTTACATTGGCACACTATGGGGATATGTCTACTGATGCACCTTGTAGCTCCTACAGACAAGAGGAGCAGGCAATGATGGTTTTCCTAAGGACTATAATAGGTCATTCATTACAAAGGACAGAAAATACTTGGCTTGGAAATATTCCAATCCTGGACATTCTTAGTCACTCTCACTAGCCTGGGCTAGATTATAATAGAGTAATACAGAAGTAGGCCATTCTGTTATTGTGCTTGTCCCGGCTCTTTGTACAATAATCCAATTACTCCCATGTCCTCTTGCCCTTTTGCCATAGCTCTGCATTTTTTACTCCCCTATCTGATTTTCTCTCCTGAAAATTACCATTGATTCTGCTTCCACCATCCTGTCACAGTACATACCCCGGATCCCAATTTAACATTTTTTAACAAATTCTTATATTCTCTTTGGTTCATTTTGTCAATTGTGTTTGTCCCAGAAACCTACAACAAACTGATGTTAATGTGAGGGTTGACTGTAAGAAGTTCAGCTTGAAATCGGTTCCACAGTTTGATTTTGATCTTGCACTTTGTTCAATGAACATAGATCTTCACATGGTGGAAATTTAATTCCTTTAAACAGCCCCAAATAGAACTTGTCAACTGGAAGATGAATATATTCAAGTTGCAGTAGCCATGACATTTCATGAGATAAACAAGACAAGACACTTAGGGAGCAGTTGCCGTGTGAAATGGTGAACTACAGGAATATTTTGCCAATGTCCCACTCCAGGGCACCAGTTGCTCCCAGGCTCATATGTTCTCAAACCACAAGTGAAAGGCAGAGTGCCTCCCTCTTTCCAAAGAACTTTTCTTAATCAATTGGGACTTCAAACTAGATAATCCATTGGCGAACTCACCTAATGAGAAAATGACCACTTGAGGTTAGTATGACTGGGGCCGTAACCTGTGTCAGCTGAGGGTTGCCTCTAGGGTCAAATGTATTCCTGAACATTTCATCATCTGGCTTGTCACTTCCAACTGGACATTCCCAGACTCCCATCAGTAGTTGCCTTTAGGATGCCTCCACTTCCTACGACAACTAGAAAGCACGCTAAATCCTCCTCACCAATAGATTAGATGCATCTTGATTGTCAGTAAAACACCTTGCCTCCACAACCCCAATATTTTTGTAACTAATAACCAGGTGTTTAAAAACTGTGACAAAAATTAACCTTAAATTGTTTGATGCCACAGCTATAATTGCTTTTCCAGGGATTTCTCACAGATATCAATCCTTCACTTCCTAGAGATCTCACGACAAATCTGGACAGTTGGGTAACGTTTTTGAGAGAGACAGGGAGGTCATTGGACAAAAGAAAGCAGGCCCCAAATAGGTTTAAATGGTTTAGTTTCTACCATTTGAGGAGATTGGAGCTGCATATTAGCCATAACCTGAATATAGACTATTTGTTCTACTGGTGACAATGATGTGCTGCCAAGCAACATTGAAACAACACATGGTGATTTATCTGGCAATAAGGGTAGATAATCCCTTAGCTA